CCTTTCTGGTCAGTGAGTACTTTTGAGATGGATAATGCACACCCATAGTAAAATTCAAAACACAAGTAAAAATAATAATTTTAACTATTTAAAATCTTTTTTTTAACTCATGAACATTTTGAAAGTGATATTTTGTCATTCTGTAGCATTTGCTTAATATATCTGCAAAGAAAAAATTGTTCAAACTTGCATTTCTGCACACCTCTGAAAAGTCTTACCTGTAAACACGTTTTAAAATTTTTCTGTACATCCCAAAGCACAGGTTTATATTTGATAAAAAAAACCAATCCCTTGAGAATATAATTATCAATGTATTTTGTTTCTCATGCAAGTTTCATTTTTTTCTTTGAACTTTATCAATATAGCCTCTCAGTTTATGACTTCACAGCAGGTGCTTGAACAACTACTACTGAAACTCAACTTTAAAAAATAGCTACAAGAAAAGTTTAAATACCATTTGACAGAGTAGTTTATAAACTATTTACATGAATGTAGAATGAATAACATGATACAAGAAGTAGTTAATGGTTTTGTGTGGAAGTGACATGACCAAGTTAAAACATAGAAGAAAGTTGGAACAGTGGGAAGTTTAGAAGACTTGTGAAAATGTTTTTTGGTTTTTTTTTAGTTTCAGACATTTTTTTTTCATTCCTGAAAATATTTATGTTAATATATGTTTGAAAGCTACAGAAATTTTCTGTACCAAAGTTCAGGTAAGTCTTATTATGTTTAGAATATGGTAGGCAACAGCAAAATACTCCTATAACTTAAATCCTTACTTATTGAATATTAATGTTAAGTATATCCCATTTAAGCAATGCATACAAATACAAAATAAATTATAATGTATTGAAAATAAAAATACATTTATTAGATATAAATCTGATTAAATATATTGGTTGCAAATATAGTTATCTAGTTCAACCAATTGTGGTATATGTATATACCATGTGTTTTTATCTTTTTGTACTATTATAATATTTATTCTGAATTCATTATTTGTTCTGAATATGTGCAGGTTTCACATAACACATGGTCAAAAACATTGTTAAATTGATTTTGTTTCAAGTTACCTTTGTTGTTCTCAAAAGAAGATAATACCCATTGCCACCAGGTGAGAGAATTGCTTAATGCATCATTGTTCTGAAATGATGTTGACAACAATGTATTTCAATAATTGTCTGGGTGATATCTACAGGTTACAACCACACCTATTTGTAATAAAAATAATTCATCATGTGGGCAGCTCGAGTTGTTCTGGGTAAATAAAAAGTTTCTTGCAAACTAAGGAGCATTGGATTTAGAAAGTCTGGTATACTGAATCAGGTTGAACAGCTGAATACAGAAGAGCCAGTAAAAGTGATTGTCAAATGTCAATAAATAGCAAGTACACACATTGTTCATTGATATTTCACTTTGCATCCAGTCTTATTATGCCATTTAACATTGACTCAGTTAGTAAGAGACTTGGCATTAGCCTGCAATAGATATCTTGAGTAAATCTCTGATTATCCAGCAGACCTATCTGATATAGCAATGGAGTTAATTCAGTTCCACCTGGATATACCACACTATCACCATTTTGAAACTTAAAGGCCTAGGTCACTGATGAATATTTCATTTTGCAGAGTTTTATGATTTATAGCTGGAAGTGATAACTACAGTATTCAGCAAAAAATAAAATTACTAGGAACATTAGTGATTCTCCTCCCCCCTGAGGTAGCTATAGAAGTAACTGGTGTTATTAGAGGAGCTTTATCAATATATTGAGGCATCTGTAAATCATAAGGGGAATATTTGAACCCTGTAGCAGAACAGATATTTTATGCTAGTCCAAGGTAGTACACCCTCCATTTCTTACATGTGCCAACAGTTATCTTTTCATGTTCCAATGCCTCCTTGCTAGCTTTCCTCCGTAGCTGAACTTCATTAAACCTTCAACATATTTCAATGCCAAAACACCATTGAAAACAATTTCACGCTGTAAAATGAACTCAAAAAATAGAGAAAAGTTATTAAAATTTATTTACTAAATATACCAACCCTTTCCACATCGAAGAAAGAAGGGCACTCCCTCCCATCTTTCGTTGTTGACATAACAGGTGACCATGGCATATGTTGCTGTTGTGGAGCCTTTAGGGACAGAAGGGTCATCCAGGTAGCCTTCTTTTGCTTCTCCTTCTCCACTGGGATTCCCAATATACTGACCTAAAACCACATCTTCAAGTTTGACTTCTGGCATGCACCTCAAGACCTTAACCTATGGATTAACACATAAGTAGAACTTAAATATAAAGACTTAAAAAGTAATGTATTTTAAAGTATAAGTGCTATTTAGAGTTTTCTTACAAAGAGAAGTTATCTTTTCATGAGATCTCAAAGTTTACACCACAGGATTTTTTATATTTATTGGATTTCTTCTAATAAGAATAATATTTTATTAAAACCAAATGAACTGCTTATCATTTTATACACTTTAAAAACAAAAGTGACTGATAATTATGATGAACATAGAAATTTAAGAATCCTTCCCCCCCCCTCAAAACTACTTGCTTAAAAGTAAAAAAAATATTTATATTTGGAACCCCCTGAAAATATAAGAATTTATGATGCAAAGAAAGATCCAACACCACAACAAGTACCTTCTTATACTTGGAACCCCCCCCCCCTGAAAATATAAGAATTTATGATGCAAAGAAAGATCCAACATAGCAACAGTACCTTCTCATCTCGAATATCCTCTGCTCCTGTAGACACAGGCTTCTCCATTGCAACTAAGCTCAGCATCTGCAGCATGTGATTTTGCATTACGTCCCTAAGAACAGGTGAAAAGTTCAATAAAGATTATAAAAAAAAAATATTGTTATATATTTACATTCAAGCCAACATATAAAACATACTGAACACTTACCTAACAATGCCAAAGCTGTCAAAGTATCCACCACGTCCCTGAGTTCCAAATGGCTCTTTGAAGGACACCATCACACAAGAAATATGTTCTCTGTTCCAAGTTGGACCAAAGATTCTATTTCCAAATCTAATAGTAAAAATAATTAATTAATTTAATTTCACATTAAGTTACACATTACGAATGATATGTTATTTATGTTTTAATGTGTGTGTGGGTGTGTTAAGTTCTTGTTTTCTAAAATATAAAATTTCCTTATGATAGCAGGAAGAAACCTTTGCTCTATCTATGCCAATAAAATGTTTTACAGCAATTTTGCCTAACAGATTCTTTTGCTGCATAATTCGATACTTTACTGTGTAGTGTTCACTTATTTTTGGATTAAAAAACAACAACAAAAACACGCTATTTTAAACAGTTTAGATATTTTTCTGCTAATTGATTAAACTTGTATCCCTTAATATTTTAAATGGTAAGCTCAACACACCACAGATCAAGCTGCATCTTCTCTGCCAACTTATAACTTTCTAACCTAAATTTTTTCTTCAGTTTGTTAGCATTTACTAAATAATTCTGAAAACAGATTTTTAAATATAATTATTAAACCCAAATACAATCATTTCTAATAAAAAGATTAAATCTAGCACTTGAATTGAAATAAAATTAAACTAATTAGTCATAACAAAGAGTCAGAGAAATATCTAAACTTATCTGTCATTCATCAAAACTTGAAATCTTTATAGAAAGATGCTAGAAGTACATACTGAAGTATAAAACACTCGTATGCCACTAGCAAACAAATCTTATACTTGTATAAATTTTAGCCTAGAGATATTTCAACTAATAAAAATATCAATAACTGCTAGTATAAAGTACTATATGCTTAGCTACATAACCTTGAAAGCCACAAATTAAAGTTTGCTTTACATCCCTTGTTCTAATGTACATAATGATGATGGTTTAGGTTGTAAAATTTCATGCAAAAGCTATGACATTTCACTATCAGTCTTATAACACACACACATGGCCCTCAACTACTGAAGTACTTTTTTTTTTCTTTGGCAGTAACAAGATGTCAACTACGGAATAACATTCTGGCAGGTTGACCGCTGAGCCACTCTCAGCCCAATGACTTATAACTGTTCTAAGAAAGTTTAATTAAATAACATTTCCAATTCTGAATTAATTCTCCCACTATACACTGACCAGGTAATATTATATATAGATCACACCCAGATTAGATGGAATCCTACCTATACACTGACCAGGTAATATTATATGTAGATCACACCCAGATTAGATGGAATCCTACCTCAAAGCCATAAGGTTCTGTACCATTTCTTTGCCCAGGTAGTGATCTATTCGATAAAGTTCTTCTTCTTTAAATAATGCATTAAGGTGATTGGAAAGTTGAGTAGAACTTTCAGAATCTCGTCCAAATGGTTTTTCAATAATAATCCTTGTCCAGCCCCTGATAAATGAACAGTATCATAAACTTCTTTCTATTAAACACTTTTTCGGGTGCATGCATGTATTCATTTTCAGGAACCATTTCCTCATCAGAAAAGGAAAGTTGAACATAAATGAGTAAAATCAATCATTTTTCACTAACATAATTTTACTAGTAATATACTTAATAATCAACATTTATATATTCATATTAATAAGATTGACTTCAGGAAAATAAAAAAAAATAAAAAAATGTATTACTTGCTAAACCATATTCAATTTTATCACAAAAGTTGTTTAAAACTAATTAAGACAAACTAGGAGTATTAATAACTGTAATAAAGATTTTGGTATAGTTCCAAAGTTCATCAGCCCCTCCACTATTGTCTGTGTCATATATATATATATATATATATATATATATATATATATATATATA